TTTACGGGACTCAACAGAACCACATCTAATATAGAGCCGCGAACTTACACCAGAAGTAATGGCATTGAAGAGACCGATGATATCAAATACATCGAGTATTTATCTATTTAATCAGTAATTTCCTTAGTATTACATATCGTTAATGAATCAAAAATTGTTGTTATAATCAGTGATGTGGAGAATGAGGCGATTAAAGACGAACTGTTCGGTGAATTCGGTTTCACTTTCGACCAAATCACTGAAATGCAAGGCCTGAGCATCGCTTCGGCCATCTATAAGACCTATCCGGCGATCGTCAACAACAAGACCACAAAAGTACTCATATGTTGTGGATCTGAGTTGTTGGGCAAGAGTGGACTCGTGGCCGCCCGTCATCTCAAACTGTTTGTGAGTTCACTAATGCATGACATCCTTGACCCCAATGGACACACAGGATATGTGTGCTTCAAATAGCCATTTATATCATGGCAACTGAATATACACTGTGTGTGCAATGCATGCAATATATAATAAATAGATATAAAATATTAAATGGCAATAATATTTGTGTGTGTTTTGTATACATTTATACTAATGATTGCATTGAATAGGGTTTTCGTGCGACAATATATAACCCAACGCCGGGAAAGACACCGCATTATCATCGGCTCATCAGACAGTGTCAAGAGTTTGAGATCTCATTCCTATCGTATTTGCCGAATGAGTCGCGACTTATCGCCGAATCCTATGAACTAATCGTCGACGTTATGGAAGACTATTCCCAGAGTTTGAGTTCACAGACTCACGACATACTGACAAAACTGGTGGAGGTTTGCAACGCCGGCATTCCTGTCATCAGTGTTGACGTGCCCTTCGGCTGGACTCCCAATGACGGGCCGCCCAGGAATGGCATTCCCGTACTTTTGCCCGAATGTCTCATATCATTGATTGCACCGAAAAAGTGCGCCAAACTCTTCACCGGTCGTCACCATTGGTTGGGCGGAAGGTTTATATTGCCATCACTTTCGCGTAAATACAAACTTAATTCACCAAAATATGACGGATCCGAACAAATTGTCGCCATCGATACCCATTGCTATTAACACTATTATATTCTCTCTCTCTCTCTCTCTCTCTCTCTCTCTCTCCTCATTTCTGAAGTCACTTAAAACTAAACGAAAAATACAAAAAATATATAAATTTTCAACAAATATTAAAACCTTTTACTTTTATACGAATATTGTTTGTTATATTTTTTGCAAAACAATTTTTCTGGTGACTTGAGAGACAAATATATCATTTATTATAAAACTCATGCTTAGCTTTCACTACAAATTATTTCGACAATTTATTTGCAGTAAAAATAAATTCATAAAAACAGATCTAAAACTATTTCGCATCTCTCTCTCTCTCTCTCTCTCTCTCTCTCTCTCTCTCTCTCTCTCTCTCTCCCCTTATATATATCTTTGCGCTAATGATTGCCATCAGAGAGAAAGACAAGAAATTGCTCACTAAAGGCAACAACGATATCATTGCGAGAGTATATATAAAGTGATGTTAAATACAAACAAAACATAAACATAAGAAAACAATTTTTGCACACAAGAAAAACTTTGCCATTAATGCCTACTTTTTATATAAAATACATGAGAAAAACAGTGTAAAAATCGCATAAAATCTCTCTCTCTCTCTCTCTCTCTCTCTCTCTCCAAACTCGTGAAGAAGTGATGGAAGAGAGAAAAAACTGGGCATTAATTGCATGAAACGAGGCAAAGGTTTAGCATCACATGTGATGGTATGGCTGATAGTGTGATCTCCCAACGGATCCATTGACTCACACGTTATCAATCGGAGCGATAAAATTTTTCCCTCGATTTCTAATACGTTTTTTTTATTAATATAACAGTTGTATATATCGGGCACTCATTTATTGATCGTTAACAACGTTACCCACAAAACGCCATTTGAGTGTCAGTTTAAGTGCGAAAAATCTCGTGAACACAACGGATATATAAAATGCTATGCAATGACACGACAACCGATTCATACAAAAAACATATACATTCGTGAATAACAACACTGTTTTTCTTTTAGCTTCAAAAATGCTATTCATTTCCATCTCTTAGTCTCTCTCTCTCTCTCTCTCTCTCTCTCTCTCTCTCTCTCTCCTATCGTTTTTCTCTCATTTATAGACATTTTTGTTTCCAATGACTTTTATTTGATTTATAGTCAAAATTGTCTGTCGTTTTACGTTTGAAAAGTTTGCGATTTTCTGTGATTTCTGTGAACTACTATTTTAAAAAACACGAATTTTACAGAATTTGTATTTGAAATGAGTTTACGAGAGAGAGAGAGAGAGAGAGAGAGAGAGAGAGAGAGAGATTTAGCTGCTCAGTATTTACTTTAATTATACTTAATTTATTTATGAAATATAAAAATAATATTTGATTTCATACACTATTTTGCATTCCGTGTATAATAACGATAAAAATCAATTTTTAATAA